TAGGCTTAGCCAATTACTTGCACAAGTACAGCGCGAGCTACGCGGAGATGGCTCGGCCATTATCATATCTTCTTAAGAATGACGCACCATGGTGCTGGAACGTCGAGCACGACGGAGCCTTTGAGGCTGTGAAGGAGAGCCTTCTCCAGGCTCCGATCCTTGCGCTACCGGACCCGGATAGTCCGTTTAGCGTCGTTTGTGACGCCTCCGATTTTGCAATCGGTTGTGCTTTACTACAAGCAGACGCCGAAGGGCGTGAACGCGTGATCGCGTTTGAGTCTCGCCAGCTCAAAGCTGCAGAGAAGAACTATCTAGTTCATGACAAAGAGCTACTTGCAATGAAGTATGCTCTAGTCAAATTCAGGGTACACCTGCTAGGCTCTAAGCCTTTTGTGATCTTTACTGATCATGCGTCGTTACGCACTGCGACACAGTCGCCTCATCTCTCTCAGAGTATGGCAAGATGGCTTTCATTCTTTGCCGAGTATAACTTCGAGGTGAAGTACAAGCCGGGGCGGCTTAATGTAGTGGCCGATGCGCTCTCGCGCAGGCCGGACTACGACTTAGCCCATGTCACGACAGTGACGTCGTCAGTGCCTGACTTGATACGCGGAGCGTATGCACAAGACGACATGTGCGTAGCGCTGCTACGGGCTCTTGGGAGCGAAGAGTTTAAAGACTCTGACAAAGAATTGTCTGGGCGCTTACGCGCGAGGCTGCATCGATACTCGCTCGATGGCGGCCTGCTGTACTACAGCACCGACTCTGAGGATAACCCTCGTGTAGTCGTTCCTCATGATGAGGATCTCAAGTATCGAATCCTCTATGAGGTTCATGATACGCCCGTGGGCGGACACTTAGGTCGGGAGAAGACCTACGGCTCGGTGAGCACGATGTACTGGTGGCCCAAAATGTATAAGTGGGTCGGCACCTATGTACGCACGTGTGAGACGTGTCAACGGACGAAGTCCGCGCCGAGCACGGCAGCGCCATTGGCGAGTTTGCCTGTCCCCAAGGGATGTTGGCAGTCCATGAGTATGGACTTTGTGTTTGGCCTTCCCAAGGACAAGGCAGGAAACACGAGTATTGTGGTCTTTGTAGACCGATTGAGCAAGATGGCTCATTTAGCGGCGGTTCCGGACACCATAGATGGTGAAGGTACAGCTTTGCTGTTTTTAGACCGAGTCTTTCGCCAACATGGCTTGCCTGAGGCAATTGTCTCGGATCGAGACCCGCGCTTCACCGCGAAGTTCTGGACGTCCCTCTTCAGAGTGCTTGGCACTCGGTTGGACATGTCCACAGCGGACCATCCGCAGACCGATGGTCAAACCGAACGCGTGAATCGCGTTGTGGAGGATATCCTCCGAAGCGTATGCGCTGAGGCGCCAAAACGCTGGAGCCAGATGCTCCCACTCGTTGAGTTCGCATTAAATAATGCAGTGCACGCCTCGACAGGCTACACTCCGTTCTATGTGAACGGCTTGGTTAACCCTCGCGTCCCATTGACGCCGCCACGCAGTGGCTCAGGGCTTGATGGGGGAGGGATAGCCGAGCGGCTAGCTGATGTCAGCCCTGTTGCGGTTCGCAAGCAAGTCGATGACTTTGTCTCTTTGAGACTAAGCGTAATGCGTCAAGTACGCGACGCTATGGCTGAAAGCCAAGACATGCAAAAAGAGCATGCAGATGCCAAAGGCAGACGCAATGAAGAAAGGTTTGAGGTCGGAGACCTAGTTTTAATAAATGCCAAAAACCTACCTACTCATGCAGTGTCTGCAGTCTTTAAGACAAAATTGAGACCACGGTTCATAGGGCCGTTCAAGGTCGTGGCCAAGAAGGGCCTAGCGTATACGCTTAACCTTCCGAAGAAGATGCGCACGCATCCAGTTTTCTACGTTGGCTTACTCAAGCCGTATCAGAACCCTGCTCAGGTGAGCGCGGAGGCGTTGGCGCCAACGGTGGCTGGGCCACGACAGGCTGCACAACAGCGGGAGGCCGAACCACGGCGGGCTGAGCGACAACAGGTGGCGGGGCCACAAGACGCAACAGCAAGTCGATCTGACCTTGCAGCTGAGCGACTTGACGCTCAAGGTCCGCGACTCGGTTCTGAACCGACTGTGGTTGTTCAAACCAGTCCACGCGGTGGTTCGTCTCATCGAGACCATCTGCAAGGCGACTCAGAGAGTCAGTCGTATCATGGAGATACCGGTTCAGGGAACCCACACGCTGCTCCAGCGCGAACACGTCGCTGCGACTCGCGACGCGAGAGTCCAGCTGAGACTCGGCCTCCTCCTGCTCTGCTCGATGAGCAC